GAGGACAACGGTGGGAACAGTGGGGACAGTGGGACAGTGGTGGGGACGGTGGTGGGGACAGTGGCGTGGGGACAGTGGGAATGTGGTGGAAACAGTGGGACAGAGGAGGGTACAGTGGTGGTGGGGACAGTGGTGAAGGCGGTGGCGAGGACGGCGGTGGGAAAATGGGACAGAGGTACAGTGGGGACAGTGGTGGGGACAGTGGGGACAGTGGTGGGAACAGTGGGACAGCTCAGTGGGACAGCGGAGGAGTCAGTGGGACAGTGGGGACAGTGGGGATAGTCGTGGAGAAAGTTGGGAGAGTGGAACCGTGGTGGGAACAGTGGTGGGGACAGTGGGGGACAGTGCGACAGTGGTGGTGGCACTGGTGGGGACAGTAGGGACGGTGGTGGAACCAGTGGGGACAGTGGTGGTGAGGACAGTGGCGCTGGGAACAACAGTGGGGGATGTGGTGAGGACGGTGGTAGGGACCGGGAGTCGTTTGCTGGAGGTGAGAGGGGAGGTGGGGAGGGTTCGAACCGGTACCCCCCCCCCCCTCCGGTTTTCGAGGGGGGGGGGGGGGGGTTCGAACCGGTAGTGACCCCCCCGGTTTTCGAGTTCGAGGGGGGGGGGAAGGGGGGGGGGGTGGGGGGGGGGGGGGGGAGGGGGGAGGGGGGTTGGCCGGGGGAAGGGGGGGGGGGGAGGGGGGGGGGGAGGGTTGGGGGGGGGGGGGGGGGGGATATTTCGGGAGGGGGGGGGGGACCCCCGGGTTCCGAGGAAAAGGGTGGCAATTTTCCACAGTAAAGCGGCGGTGGTTCACGCTCTCTCATATGTATATATATATATATATACATTGAACCGCAAAGCGCATCCTGAGCATTCAATAAACCAGCGGCCACCTGATGTCATGGCTGGCACAAGACGAAGGAAAGTAAAGCGGTGTTTGAAAGGGGCCCTACCTTGCGCTGCCCAAGGGTGCTTGAACCCGAGGTTGGGCGGGAGACACACGAGGAGGCCCGTAGAGTTTGAGCCAAAATGGCTACGGAGGAGGGGGAGCAGAAGGGAGAGGAGTTGGAGGAGGAGGAGGAGGAGTTGGAGGAGGAGGAGGAGGAGGAGGAAGAGGAAGGAGAGGGAGGAAGGGAGAAGGAAGAGGAGAAGGAGGAGGAGGAGGAGGAGGAGTGAGGAGTGAGGAGGAGTGAGGAGTGAGGAGGAGTGAGGAGGACGACGACGACGAGGAGGAGGGGACAGAGTGAGGACGATCGGATCGGCTGGCCACGGAAGTGCCCACGCGCGAGCAGTTGCAGTGGGGGGGAGGTTCTGTTGAGAGCCACGGCCCAGGGTGCCCGCTGAGCGAGCTCAATTTTCACCCCGGACTTGAACTCCTCCTCCTCTTCCTCCTCTTCCTCCTGCTCCTCCTCCTCCTCCTTCTCCTCTTCCTCCTCCCTCCTCCTCCCTCCTCCTCCTCCTCCGAGGGAGGAAGTAAACAAGTAAGAAAAAGCCCAGAGCTCCCGATCTCACTGAACGCGCCTCCCACCCACTGCCTCCCCCCCGACCTCCAGGAAGCCGCAGCACACGTCGTGCACATATAGCCGACATCGGGTATGCGGCGACGGGCGCGGTGGGGTAGGAAGGGCGAGGCAAGGGAGGAGCTGGAGAGTAGTTAACGAACTGGTTCCTTCGAAGGCTCCTCGACGCTGTCGAAGACTGTATGACATATGAGGAACCTCATCCCTCCCCCAATTACGAGTTTCGAAATGCAGCCGAGAACCATCAACGCAAGTCTGCATGCACTCGGGAATTCGCATCAGGAGGAGGGGGCATAATTGACGTGCACGTAATAGCCCGTCTAGGCAGACAGGGGATCTTCTTCGCCTCGCGCTCCCTGGCTCTCCAACGGGAGAGCACGGGAGCACGACTAGCCAAAATCATTTGCACTAGTTCTGGAGGCAACGGAGGTGGAGGTGGCGGAGGAGGTGTAAGATCAGGGGCCAGCGAGCCAAAGAAAAAGTTTGGACCCATATCGGAGACGGGATTATCCTGGCAAGTGGTGATTGCCTTGGACGAGCATATGAGCCGAGGGCAAACTCTGGTACCATGCTGGGAGGCTCTGATCTGAACAAACCAGCCCGCCAGACAACGTGCAAGAGTGATTGATGAAATCGCATGTGTTGAGAGCCTGGCACGTCTTAGACTGCATGCCTTTTGTTTTCGGCGCAAAAGAGCAAACATCAAACGCGGCAGAGAGGACCCGTCGATCTCCCTCCAATACTCCCATAAGTACTCGATGTCCAGCGTCGAGCTGGGGAAGGGTGACGGTACGCAACACAATTGTACCAATTGAAGTAGACATGCAATGTTGCCAGTCGATAGCAAAAAGGAAAACTACGTTGGGGAGGACAGAGACGAGAGGGAGTCCCAGGGAGAAGAGTGCGGAGATGTTGCCCCTTACTGTATGCGCAGGCTTGGGCCTCCAAACTGAAAACACAAAGGCTACAGCGTCCAATGACGATTACAAGCAGTGGCATCGTGTAACCGATTAAGGGGAGCGATCTTGAAGTGCGAAGCTGGAGTCCACGCCCAAGAAAGAAAGTTAGAAGCCTAGCTGTAAGATGCGGCAGCTGATCTCTGTCCAGGAGACTCGTTGAAGACATGTGAGAACTCGATGGCACCGTGTGGTAAACCGCTTGGTCCAAGAGGCCTGTTCAGCCGGCGCAGAGATGGACACCCAGCATGGTTTACAAACAGGCCGTTGTGCCTGCTTTGCACAACCTCGCACTCCTTCAAAGGCCGTCGTAATTGCGCTTGTCGCCCAGAGCGCACTGCAAATATGAGGGCCCACACTGCAAACAATGACAGCGGCGCTGTTGCTTCTGATGACGGGCCGGAAGTTCTTCTGGCAAGAGCTGCAGGTCGGCGGCGCCACAGGTGATACGTCCACTTATGCTGGCCTGCTCCTCTTGCGCCGACCGTTTGATCTGCCTGGCTACATGAGCGTACAGTCAAGACGCTGAAATAAGGAACAGTTTGGGTTCGGAAGGGGCTCGATGTTCCTTAGGTTCCTCCAGTGCTGTTCCTCTTGCCCTCCTGGGCCACGGAGGCGCTTACAGGGCCAAGAAGGGGCTTCGTTCCTTATTCAGCGTTCCTTCTTTCAGCGGCCCGATTGTAACCTGGAGGAAGATGGGGGCGTGCATCGATCGCGAGCGTGACAGGTTCGCAAGCACTAACAAGGGACAGCCCAAACAAGAGGGCTTGGCGAAACGCGTCGAGGTCATCTTCCGATCCATCGGGGGTATTTCTTTCAGACGAGCGTGCAGAAGAACAACAATCGCCCTCGTTCCTTCCAGGGCTAAGCCGTGGGCGCATGTAACGAGGCGAGGGATAGTTATCATGCTTGCGAAACTGACACTCACCCTGCCCACTTCTACGAAGAAGCTTTGCCAAGTCGCCCAAGGAACGCTGAGAGGACCTGGAGCGCGATTCGGGGAGTCCGATCGGGGCCGGCGAGGGTGGTGTGCTTGCGCAAGGCCTGCAATCAGGCTGCGAGCCAGGCCCGCAGCCGCTCACCTGTTCAGCGTCAGGATGTGCAAGATGATGGCGCCGTGCAGGCTTCACCTGACCCCATGTCCAACAATGCCTGGGCCAGAAGGAGGCTGGACACCAGAACTGCCCAGGTGGTGGAGGCAAGGGATTCGTGCCCGGCCACGCATTCTTGCCGAGCTTTTAACGAGGAACAGGAGCAGGCGGAACTGGTGGCAGAAGCAACGCAGGGTCAACTGGCAACGGGAAAAGAAGAACTCCGCTGTCCGGCACCGTAACTGAAGGTAACCCCCTTGATGCACATGACACAGACTTGACGGGTGAAGGTGTAGGTGTGTAGCCAGAGCTGCCGCTGCGGGCAGTGCTCTTCGGCCGGTTGCGAACGTCACCGACCGCCCCCGATTTCGGTGGCTCGAGGATGGGCCCGAGGCATTGGGGACCGGAGGTCGAGGCGCCTCAGGCAACATAATCAAATCCAACCTTGGATCCCTTCCTACAGTCGGGGCGTTGACCTAAGGAACCCTAAATAAGGAACGAGGCTCCTTTTTTCCATAAGTTAAACTTCGATTTCCCATCGAGAACATAAGGAAAACCTAAGGCAAGCTGCGAAACAATTAAGGAACACGGAGCCCCTCCCCAACGAAAAGGGTTCCTTGTTTAGCGCCCCGACTGTATGTGCGCCGCCGACGAGTGCCCCTTGCCCAAGCGCTCGCACTCCGCCGCCGCCGGTTTCTCCTTCGACCGGCGACTGCGCCCCGCCCTGCTGTTCGCTCCCGTCCGTCGCCGTCAACCTCCCTCGGCCAGCCCTGTCCCTGACTGCCCCCGGCACTGAGTGGTGCCTGCCCTTGGCTCCGCCCCCTCGCCCCCCCCCGCCCGCCCACCCACACACACACACACATACACACACACTTTTGCGTCGGCGGCTAGGCAGAGTGACTGCGCTGGCGGAACGAGCATGTGTAGTGCATACAGATGCGAATTAAGCCGCGATGCGCGTGGATAAGAAGAAGAAGAAGCAAGGCGCGGGCGGGAGGGGAGACCGGCCGGGCCCGCGCAGAGCGGGGCCAGGCCGCCCCCCCCCCCAACACACACACACACACACTCATTCACACACACACACACACACACACACACGCACAGACAAACAAATACACACACAAACAAACACACACACACACACACACACAAACGAACACACACACACACACACAAACAAACAAACACACACACACAAACCCACACACACACACACGCACGCACACACACAAACACAAATAATAAAAAAGAGCACCCTATCCTGCCGTTTGTGGTCGTCACGCGCCAGACTCACCTCAGGCGATAGCCAGCGCAGCCGAAACGGACAGAGGAGCAGCGAGGGAGGGAGGGGGGCGGGAGGGGGAGGAGGAGGAGGAGCAGCAGCAGCGGAAGCTTCTTGCAATCGCATGGATACGATGCCCAGCTTTATTATCCGATCGTGCACATCCAGTTTGGTTCAAGCTGCTTCGCACTGCGCAGACCGAGCTGCTGGGTCAGGCCGCCTCTGTAAACTCGTAGGGCGTTTCGGCACTTCTCGCCAAGATGGCCGCCTCGTTCGAGACCCTGTGGCCAGCCTACGAGGCGAAGATGAAGGGGGACGGTTGCAACGAGGCCGCCATCAACGCGTTCAAGTACAATTTCAAGGTGTTGTGCTCGGGCGAATCCACCATGATGCCAGAGGCCTCGCTGGACCCGGTGGCGCCCCTGCCGAGGTACGATGACCTGGACGTCGCCCTGGATCCCGAGCTGCTGAAGAAGACCCTCGTCCTGAAGCTGAACGGCGGGCTGGGCACCGGCATGGGACTGGAGAAGGCTAAGTCCCTGCTCACCGTCGTCGAGGGGAACAGCTTCCTCGACCTCATCGCTAAGCAGGTGAGCGATGGAAGAAAGCGAGTCCACTGCGCGGACATTCGCGCGCAAGCTTCCCGCGCATCGTGTAAAGAGCCCTCTTCTCCATGCCGTGTGCCACGCTGGCGGCCCGCGTCAGCTGCGGCGCAAGGGCGCCACGTCTTCTTGCGTAAGACCTGTTTCCTTTCGTCGCCCAGGTGGCGTTCATGAAGAAGAAGTACAGCCAGCCCGACCTGAAGTTCATGCTGATGAACTCCTTCGCCACGGAGGCGGACACCCAGGCGGCCCTGTCCAAGTACCCCGACCTTGGCACCGGCGCCGACTTGTCCTTCGTGCAGAACAAGGCTCCCAAGGTCACCAAGGACGGCTACACGCCTGCAACCTGGCCGGCGTCCCCAGACAACGAGTGGTGCCCGCCAGGCGGGGCGCTCTTGCGGGTGGCGGCAACGACGACGACGATGACGTGGATGACGACGACGAAGAAGAAGAAGACGACGACGACGAATGAGCGGTACCCACCAGGCCACGGTGACCTGTACCCTGCAATGCTCGGCAGCGGTGCCTTGGACAAGCTCCTGTCCGCGGGGCTGAAGTATATGTTCGTGTCGAACTCCGACAACCTGGGCGCGACGATGGGCTCCAAGCTGCTGCCTTTTGGAAGCCAAACTCGGCTTCCAAAAGCTGGCGTTTTTTTGGAAGTCGAGTTCGACCTTCATAAGCACGCAGTTGTTCTGGGGTGAAATCAGCGTTAAATGGAAACCGGATGTTTAAACATACGACTTCAAAGAGCAAACGGTTATCTTATGGTGTTTGGGGATTTCGAATTGGAGCCCAAGAGCACGCAGTCTTTCAGGTGCGACGATGGACCTCAAGCTGCTGTCTTACTTTAAGAGCACGGGCGCCCCTTTCATGATGGAAGTCGCTGACCGCACGGATGCCGATAAGAAAGGCGTGGGGGGCACCAATTGTCCACATCCACCCATCTTGGCCAGGCCAATTCTGGGCCCAGGATCTACGCATCATATATATATAATAAATTATATATATATATATATATGCTCATGACGACACCAGGAGCGCGTATCCACCCTTTCCTGCTACCAGAGTTGGCATGGCAGGATCGGTGTGGGTGGACAGTACGCGTGTACCTAAGGCGGCCACCTCGCCACTAAGAAGGCCGACGGTGGCCTCACGCTGCGCGAGTCTGCGCAGTGCCCTCCAGAGGACGAGAAGGCTTTCCAGGACACTACCAAGTACGCTTACTTCAACACCAACAACTTGTGGGTCGACCTGGAGCAGCTCAAGGCCCTCTTCGAGAAGGCCGGGGGCGCCATTCCGCTCCCAGTGATGTTGAACGACAAGACGGTGGACCCTCGCGACAAGAAGTCCACAAAGGTGATCCAGCTCGAGACCGCAATGGGGGCAGCTATTTCCTGCTTCGCAGGCGCCAAGGCGATCTGCATCCCGCGGACACGCTTTGCGCCAGTGAAGAAGTGCGACGACCTGCTGGCGCTGCGGTCCGACGCATACATCATTACGGAGGACTCCCGCATCGAGCTGGCGCCCGAGCGAGGTGGGGTGCCGCCCCTGATCAAGCTGGACGACCGGTACAAGTTCGTGGACGCCATGGACACCCTGATCCCCAACGGAGTACCGTCGCTCAAGTTCTGCAAGAAGCTGACGATCGAGGGCGAGATTGAGTTCGCCGCTGGCGTGGTGCTCAAGGGCGAGATCAAGATCAAGAGTTCCAGCGAGGGCAAGAAGGTCGTGGCCGCGGGCACGTACGAGAACACCACCATAGAGCTCTAGGCGTGCCGCTGACATGTGAGCGAGCCGAGTGCTGTGGAAGTTGCAAAGCTGGCTTCCGTGGGCACACGGCCACCTCGAGAGCCATAGTTCGGAGACGCGTTCCAGATCGAGCGCCCTCCAATTTATAATTTATCATTTACAGGAACGCGGCTTGTTGCAGCCATCTTGATTAGGACGTTCCACGATTCCCTCCCTAACTCCTCCAAGATAGAATCCGGCCAAGACCAATCCCTGGACCCGTCGCGGGCATCATCTGAACCCTTCTCCGAGACGCGTCCAGCCACAAGGATAGAGGATTCCTTGTGGCCGCCGAAGTTTCAGAAAGAGGAGAAGGACAAAGAGGAGGACCGGATCGGGTCGGATCGAATCGGAAGTCCGCGAAAGCTCTATTGCGTGGAGATTGCCGTGGGGATGAAGCAGTCAAAATTTTCAGCCCAGGAGGAGGAGGATCTGTTCCCCATGCGTCCCTCACTCCCTCCTTCCACCTGTCGTCTCCCTCCTGGAGGCCCCAGTTGGCGAGGCGCCATTTTTCCCGATAGCATGGGTTTGCCCAGCACGCGGCTACAGATTCTAGCATCTTGCTCCAGCGTCGCCGAGAGTTTAGTCGCATGAGCTGGATGAGGCCGAGGAGCTTCGCCCAAGCTCTCCCTACACTGATAGAGGGGGCGGCTAGTTTGGATTCTTCGGCAGGGGGCAGCGATGAGCAGAGCAAATCAACAACAACAAAATAAATTCTCAGCTGTTTGCCCGATATGCAAGGACCTGGACGGCTTCAGCGTGACAACGAGAGCATTGCCAGTGAAGCAACCAGACAGGCGATGAAAGACCAAATCGTCGAGAGACGGAGAAATTCGTACCAGACCAGCCGCTAGCGCTTGCTTTGAGGATGGAGGGGGGAGGGGTTCTAGAGGGGAGGAGGTTGTACTTCGGTTCTGGAGCTTCAGAGCGGGAACCTCATTTACAAGTTGTTGACCCCTCTGGGATCACCCTTCCTTGTCCCCGTCCACCTCACTCCTCATCATCATTCCTCCACCACCTCATTCCTCCTTCTCTTTCTTCTCCTCCTCTTCCTCCTCCTCCTCCTCCTCCCCGTCCTCCCTCATCGTCATCATCATCATCACCATCATCATCATCATCATCATCATCATCATCATCATCATCAGGCCTCGTCCATCTCATCATTATGAATCGCTCCTCGTCCTCATTTTCAGATTCATCCTCATTCCTCCTCCCCCCCTTGCACTCCTCCCTAATCCTCACCATGTTTGAAACCTGTGAAAATGAGGTCTGAACTTGCAGGGCTGGGGATTCTAACTTCAATAGGATTATCTCGACTCTGGAGATCTAGACTTCTACAGCAGGTGCGCCTGCTCTGTACCATCACCCACATCATCACCATCAGCATCATCATCATGATCATCATCAGCAGCATCATCAGCATCGGCATCAGCATCGCCATCAGTATCAGCATCATCATCATCAGCAGCAGCATCATTAGCATCGTCATCATCACCTTCATCAGCGCAAGGTTAACACGGCACTGTGCACATATACTCCGCCACATACGAAACAGATCTCACCGAGTGCGATCGCATGGTTTGCAATATTTGAAAATTCTGATCACGGTGTCGTTGTCTGAAGATAGCAAGTGGGGGCCGTGTACCTGGACCGTTGCGCTGAAGTGTTGTACAGTCGGCCCGGATTAGTAGATCGGCCTTGCCAGCTCAAGGGTACCTTTGTGTCCTGTGCCTCGCGACACGTGCCTTCTTACACTCCTATGGCGATGTGGCCCTCGGAAGGGTCGTGTGTCTTGTGTCCTCTCGCGTGTCCTGTCCAATCAAGGCCGACTGTAGACCGCACGTGTGGTGCATGTTCGTTTCAAACTCGGCCATAAGACGTCAGCACCTCCCTCGGATCGGGCGCGGGGTCTGGCCCCGGGCGGCGACTCGCGCGCACAGCAGGCTGCCAGTGCTGCAGATAATCCGAGGCGGGAATTTATCCATATCCACCGCCTGGAGGGTCAATTTTCGGAGCCTCGGCAGGCGATGGATATGGGCATACTCGGGCCCCAGGGGGCCGAAATATATCCATATCCACCGCCCGCTGGGGCACCAGGACGTCGGTTCCCAGGCGGTGGATATGGATGAATCCCCGCCTCGCAGATCAGATCATGGATATTACTCACTCCACTGCTTGACGCTGGCAAGACTCTGAGCATCGAGGCTCGCAGCTACAGTATGGAGAATGCAAAGAACTCAAACCGACTCGGGTTCGGTGGCCAACAAACTAGGCCCACATACGCGCAGCAGTTCAAAAGCCAGGCACAAATGGAGAAAAGGGGAGGGTGTAGAGGCGTGTTAAGGCATGAGTATGCACCCATCTGGTCAGCGAGATTGTCATGGAGGTGGTGATTCAGGTGATTACTCCACGCCACAGCGCGCGCGACGAGCGAGCGACGCCGAGCGAGCGACGAGCGAGCGGCGACGAGCGAGCGGCGGCGACGTCGGCGGCGCCGCAAACGGCGCTCAAGCTAGGAGCACGAGTCCCCAAGGGCTGCCCACTCAATTCCTTGTCTCAGCGACCTCTACTCAACATTCCGTAAGACACGGGAAGGGGGCCACAACTTTCTCATCCTCCTCCTCTTCCTCGTCCTTCTCCTCCTCTTCCCCCTCCTCATCCTTCTCTTCCTCCTCCTCCTCCTCCTCCTCCTCCTCCCCCTCCTCCCCCTCCCCCTCCTCCTCCTCCTCTTCCACCTCC